AAAAAAATAAAATAAAAAAGTGGGGATGGGAAAATCTAGGGGAAAAAATAAAGTTGGGTTCATAATTTGCATCTTAGAAGAAGTTCCAAATGAACTCAAGATACAAATGTAAAGCATGAAAACAAAAATCTAGGGCTGGGGATGTGGCTCAAGCAGTAGCGCGCTCGCCTGGCATGCGTGCGGCCCGGGTTCGATCCTCAGCACCACGTACCAAGAAAGATGTTGTGTCCGCCGAGAACTAAAAAATAAATATTAAAAATTCTCTCTGTCTCTCTTTAAAAAAAAAAAAAAAACTTCTCCTTTAGCTCTATAACCAGGAGCTAAAGGAGAAGTTTTTGTAAACATCTCAGTGTGGAAAAGGTCTTTTAAACTATGACACACTCAGAACATAAACACAACACTCAGAAGCCATAAAGCTTGCTTGCTTGCTTTATTTATTTATTTATTTATTTATTTAATTTTTTGCATTGTTGGGCATTTAACCCAGGGCTTCACACATACTAGGCAAGTACTCTACCAGTGAGCTACATCCCCAGGCCAAATTTTATTTTTTGCTTTTAAAAATCTATACAAGGCTGGGGGTGTAGGCAGTTGAAGAATGCTTGCCTAGCATGTGTGAGGCCCTGCATACCGTCCCCAGTACTGTACCACAAAACAAAAACCATGCAGGGGATGAGGGTGCAGTTCAGTGGTGGAGTATGTGCTTAGCACGTTCAAGGGCCTGGGTTCAGTCCATAGCATCACACAAACACACACAAACCATCTATACTGTGCTGTAGTTTGGGATCTGAAGTGTTCTCCAAAAGCTCATGTGGAAAGGTTTTTGGTCGCAGACACAGCCATGTTCAGAGCGGTGATCTGGGGAAGTGGTTGCATCAGGAAGATGCTGACCTCATCAAGGGCTTAATCCATGAAGGGATTCAGAGCTGAAGGGACTGCTAGGAGGCGGCAGGACGGTAGGAGTTGGGACCTAGTTGAAGGGAGTGGGTCCTGGTGTGGCTTGTCCTTGTGGACTATATCTTGTCCCTGGCCACTTTGTTTCTCTTTGCTTCCCATCTGCTATGAGGAGAGCAGCCTCCTCTGCCGCACGCTTCTGCTGCCATGATGCTCTGCCTCGCCTTGGGCCCCCAAAATGGAGCCAGCCAAGCATGGATTGAAACCTGGAAAACTTTCCTCCTTCATGTTGTTTTTCTCAGGTATTTTGCCACAGTAACAGAAATCTGACTAACGCGCAATGTCAAAGGATGAACTGGAGAAAATATGGATAATTAGTATTTTAAAGGGCTATTTTTCTCCATTTGTAGAAAAAGAATTCTTATCTGTCAATCAGAAGCCAGAACCAGTGGGATAAATGAGTAAAGACAAGGACTGTTCACAGAAAGGATAAATGGCTCTTAAACATAAGAAAAGACACTTGAGCTCACTGAAAAAAAAAAATAAGTGTGAACTAACACTTCACCAAGAAATCATTTTCCACTTAATTTGTCAATGATAAAAAATCTGAGCAGGGTGGGGCATGCCTGTAATTCCAGTGGCTTGGGAGGCTGAGGCAAGAGGGTCCCAAGTTCAAAGCCAGCCTCAGCAAAAGTGAGGCGCTAAGCAACTCAGTGAGACCCTGTCTCTAAATAAAATACAAAACAGGGCTGAGGATGTGGCTCAGTGGTCGAGTGCCCACGAGTTCAATCCCTGGTACAAAAAAAAAAAAAAAAAAAATCTGGTACTTCATGGGTTGGTGAGAATTCTGGAAAAATCAAGCCTTTCTTATGTACTCCTGGAGGGGTGGTGAATAGCCAGAGGGACATTTGGCAAAAAAAAAAAAAAAAAAAGACAATTTGGGCTTATTCATTGGCAGAGCAATTTTTAAAATTTACCCTACAGATAATTTTTTTTACATGTTTATGACATCCTTACAAAGTCACTCACAGAAGCTCAGCTTGCAGTAGCAGAAGCCTGCTATTAAGTGAAGAAACAAGTATGGGTCAGTAAGGGACTAGTTACTTTATAGCTACTTGTATCTAAAAATGGGAATATAAAAAGGGACATATGGATTAAAAATTTAAAAAAAAATATGTTGCTAGGTCAGCAGCAGGATGCATGGAATTCTACCAGAGTTTAATAAAAAGCGGTGAGAAACAGACGCATATTTGGTTCAGTGATTTTTCTGATACTTCTGACACAAAATATCAACTTTCCAGCATGGACCATGTTCACAATTCCATTCCTTCTGTCACCATCCTGGAGCCTGTAACAGACCCAACAGGTTAAGAGTTCCATCTCACCGGCCACCCCCACTTCTGCCCAGCTGACTGTAAATTTGAAGGTTCCTAAATCATTCCTTGGGCTTGGCAATGTGGTAGAAGGCTCGCAGCACTCAGGAGAGTGTTTACTTACTGTTACTGGTTTATGATAAAGGAAGCAGGTCAGGAACAGCTAGATGGAAGCTGGCACCAGGTGAGGTATGGGGTTGGGGTGCAGAGTTGCCCTCTCCTGCTCCCAGCACACCTGTGTTCAAAGTGTTTGTCTCTTCAGCATCCCCCACCCAGAGTTGTCAGTTCAGCATCCAACCACCCTTGAGTGGTTGCAATCTCCTTATGAATAATTCAGGGGCTTTTATGAACAGCAAAAGATTCTTCTATTGCCCTGAAATTCCATCGGTCTTAGGAGCTCTGTGCCATTTAGATGTGAGTGCATGATTATAATGCCCCATTTGATGATGTATGGATTCCTTCCTGAAAGGATGTAAGAGACTCGCTTTCATTGCCTCTAGGGCAGGGAACCAGGAGGCAGGGAGTTGAGGGAATAAGGGGACTCTTGGTTCACAATGTACATGTGAATATATTGCCTTTTTGAAATTCAGTACTGTTTTGAGGGGCTACTGAGGACTGGACCCAGGGCACCCCGCATGCTAGGCGTGCACTTCCATGAAGCTGCATTCCCATCTCCCTCCCAATACTTTCTAGTCCTTAGCTTCGTTTCGAATGTCCTCAACCTCTAGGCTTTTAAAATCCTCCCCAGTTCTGAGCACTGAGCCCAGGGATGCTCAGGAACCCAGGAGGTTCCCCACCCTATTTTTAAGTTTTATTTTGAGACAGGATCTCAATAAGTTGCTGAGGCTTGCCCTGAACTTGCCATGCTCCTGCCTCAGCTCAAGTAGCTGGGATTCCAGGCGTGCACCCGGCTGGCATCTTCAGGCTTTCTTACTCTGCCCCTTGAGATCCACTCTAGAGCGGGCAGGTAACCCCATCCGACTTGTAGACTCCTCCCCACTCCCCACTTGTTCCATCCCCTCTGTGAACAGCCACCCCTGCTGGGCTCACTACTTCCGCACCTTCCCTCCCCTCTCCTCAGACAGCACCAGAACCCTCCTGGGACTAACCCATTCAAACCTCAACACTCATTGCAAAACAATACCCATGTGACAGGCCAGGCAACAGAGGCACAAGACTTGAAATAACAAGCAGGGACTCTGGAATTTGAAATTAAACTGTTTGGCTCCGAAGGGCAAGTCATAACCACTGCCCTAGACTACCCGCCCATGAACATCCAGGCCCAGTTAAATGTGCCTCCTCTGGGAAGCCCTCCTTCTCCTTCAGTAGCAAGAAATTTACTGAGTGCTCAGTATGTCTTTCCTTTGGGGGAGGGGGAGGGAACTATAGGATAATAATCACTACATTATATTATTATTTAAACATTATTATTCCTAAATATCCTCAAGTCTGACCCTGAAGACATTTCTGACCTGGCCACAGAGCCATTTTCCATTTAAACTTTACCCAGTAGGTCTGGGAGCCCCTTCTTAGGGCTGCGAGTATCCCAGCTCATTGAATCCCAGCTCCACTGTGTAGTGTTCATAGATGGTGGATGTTACAGAAGGGAAACTGAGGCTCAGAGACCGGCCGCCACGGGAAGAGGAAGAGCTGGTTCAAAGCCTGTGCTCACAGGCCTAACCCTTTGACCCTCTCACCATCACACTGGGTCAAGGAACCAGGCCAGTACCTAAGCAGTTGGTGTCCTGTAGACACACGTTAGTTAGAGGATCAGGACCAGAGCGGGTACACATTGTTAGGAGGAACGGGTAGGGGAGGGGCAGTGCTGCCACCTAAGGCCCACCAGACAGGAGGCTGGGGGTGGGGGTGACACGTGTTACATAGGGGAGTGGACAGGCAGGCAGCTCCTCAGCAGCAGAACTCAGTCCCCAGGTGTGGTGGAGGCTTGGGGAAGACTGGGAGGGGGCCACAGAGTGAGCCTGGAGGGGAAACTGGTGAAACAGCCCATGTGCCCCCCTCCCACATCCTGTTGGTCCCACTCCCACCTCCCAGGTCCCCAAGCAGACCCTCCTCAGCTCCTGTCTCCAGCTCTAGCTGCATCTGGGGGGCAAGACAACAAGGAAGTCCTCACCCCAGAGGTTTTTGGCCACTGAGAAGCAATTTTGGCAGCAGGATGGATGGCACTCAGAGATCAGGGAAGGGCAGCTGGATGAGGTATGGGAGGTCACACCTGTGATGCTGGGGCAAACCAGACAGGCCACAGTGTGGGGGTGAATGGCCAGGTTCCTGGGGTGTAATGGTTAATTTAAATCATCAACTGATAGACCCATTACTTAAAATTGGGAGCCATCTCGCCACAAAGCCATGAAAAGATAATTTCAGCTATAAATTACTGCAAATTCTGAACCTGCTTGGAATGCCTGCCCGGGCCTTGAACTCACCCATGCCTGGCTCTCTGACCAGATAGCAGCCCTCTCTAAACTGTAGTGACGCCTCACAAATCTTGGCCTTCCCTGGCCAGACAACAACCCTCTCTGAGGCTCTAATGACCTTCATAAATTCTGATGTCGGGGCCAGCAAAAATGTAAACTACCATCAGTGTTATGCTGGTCAGAGTTCTGTTATCTGTAAAAAGTTGGGGTGCTGTCTTGTTCCCGCGGTTTTGGGAGGGAGAGGCAGCCAGGCCGGTCGAAATAATAAGCTTGCTTTAATTTGATTTTAATTGGAGTCAGTGGTCTTTTCTTGCGTCCTGGTCTAACACAACTTGATTGGATTAAGATATTCCAAGGATTAGGAGGGTTATGGGTTTGTCAGTGAGACTCTGTCTAGGAATGATTGGCATGTGGAATAGCCAACTGAAATGGAGACCCTCCCTAAGCGTGGGCAGCACCAACCAATAGGATGATGGCTTGGATGGAATAAAAGTTGGAAGAACCGAGGAAGCAGCAGCAGATGCAAGCTCAATTCTTCTTGAACAGGTTCTTGATTACTGGTGTGATCGTCTGAGGATATTAGACTCCCGCTTCTTCACTTTTCAAGGTGGATTCTCAAGAAGCCTTTGGTCTCAGACTAGAGTAGAACTGATCCCTCTAGTTCTGGGGCTTCAGCCTCTTGAACTGCCCAGCTACTGGTTCCCCCAGCTCTCCAGCCTGCAGACGGCCATTTTTGTGGACTATCACTTCCGGTCACATATGAGAACCTAATAGGTCCCCCTTTTATAATTATACTTCCTGTTGATTCTGTTCCTCTAGAGAAGCCTAATACATGGGGTAAGGGGCCCCAGGCCTGACAGCAATCCCTCTGAACTTCACCTTGGTGGGGACACCACTTCCAAGTCCAGGCCCAGTGGGTTGGCTTGTTGGCCATGACCTGGGAGGAGTAGAGTGGACAGTGAGTTGGGATGGCAGCCCAGCCTCACCCGCTCACAGCGCTGGCTTAGAAGCCCATTCGTGCCCACAGTATGTCCCTTGGGTGCTGGAACTTCCCCACCCGGGAATGCCAATCTTCCTGCAGGGCCCATGGAAAAAATCTCACATTTAGGTTTCTCCAAGTCCTCCTCCATCTCATTTGCAAGGAACACAAGGGCATGAGGTCAAGGGTCAAGTCTATGGCCTCCGCCATGTCCCATCCTACCATACCCAGACCCTCAGTAGTGTCCCGCTGCCCACTCCTGCCACTCATAGAGCCAAGAACTGCTGTGGTTGTGCTCACAGAGCGTCAGGTTAGCACACCGGAAGGAGACCAGCCCCACAGCCAGGAGGAACTGCAGACAGGCAGGGGCAGCCAGAGGCCCTGGGGATGAGGCCAGCAGCCAGGTTCCTTCACACTCCAGAGGTTTTGGACAGGGAAGAAAAGACAGTAAAATGAGGGGCCCAGCAAAGATAAGGGGAAGGGTTCCCCCAACAGTCCAGGGGACCCAGCAGCACTGAATCCCATTAAGTCAACCTTCTACTCAAGTGACCCCAACCTCTACTTTGTTACTCTCTGTAACAAACTCCACTTTGCTTCCTTACCGTATCTGAAATCTGGAAGCAGGTGTCTTTGGAGAGGAACTCCTGGAAAAAGCTGTCCTCTGGAGGTAGAGAAGAAACACAGGTCATGCCCCATAGATAAAATGGTCAAAGCCCAAACCACCACTGAGCCCATGTTCTGACAAGACCCCCCTCCCACCTGCCACACCTGTCCAGAGAGGCTTGGGAGGCCGGCTTGAGCAGAGCAGGACCCTGCCTTCCACAGCTCTTTGTATTCTTGACCCCATCGCCCTTCCCATGCCAGCCTCCCGGGAACTCACCCAGAATGTTGAGGAGGCCTGGACTCCTGGCCCTGGTGGGGATGAAGAAACCCATGACCCCCCCTTGTTGGCTGCAGTCCCCCAACTTCACCTGGTGATAACCACAAGACAATGGCAGGGTCTCTGGCATCACTTATCTCATGGGGAGTAGGAGTAGGGTGGGGCAGGGTGGAGCAAGGGGACCTAAAGACACAGCAGCCTCAGGACTTGGTACCTATACAATGATCCCACAAATCAAAGAGGAAGGTGAGGCTGGCCAGAAAGAGGACCAGGAAGGTGGAGGGCAGGGTGCAGAGACTCAAGGATTCAGAACAGAGGGCACCTGGGAGGCCTGACAGATGGGGAGGCCAGGAAAGAAGCAAAGATCTGGGCTGGGGATGTGGCTCAAGCGGTAGCGCGCTCGCCTGGCATGCGTGCAGCCCAGGTT